GTTGCCATGGCAACCTCCTGCGCTACACAAGCCAACCAGAGATTACGATAAACACATAACATTCAGTCCGTTATTATATTAGGTTTCCAGGCTTGATATTTATTTTGCGATTATTAATAAGCCTCCCTGAACATAGCGGTGGTTGATGAGTTAATTTTAAACTTCTGCTCTGCTAGTTATTTTGGTAAAGGAACCTAAACGCACAGAATTGCGCAACACCTTGTTGAAACAATAATTACAGATTAATAATTGTTGGGTCATTGTTAATGACCCAACAATTATTGTTGTTGGGTCATTAAATTGAGCACGTTTTGTTGATTTTTTTGTTGTTCTTTAATAAAGTTATGAACGTTTTGATAAGGAGTCAGAGGAGGACCTGCTGGTCTCAGCCTCCTGGTGGCGTTCAGTTTGTCACCTAATGCCGAGATCGACTCAAAACCTCCCGCGATCCACCTGTTGCACCGCTGCTCTAGCAAAGCACGGACAGTTCAGGAACTATATGAGATGGGGGGGAAAAGCTATTTTTTAACTGATTAAGTCGTGTTTTGGATTCTTGAAAAACTAATCAGTCACGACTGATTAGTGGGTACACTCACCCCTGATAGTAAGTGAAGCAAAGTTACAAAGTAATGTTTAAATTAAGCAATATAACCAACTATAGAAAGTAAGTGAATCAGAAATAAAAGTAAGGGACAAGTGGTGAACACAAACTAAATCACTTTGTCACACATACCAATAAGATGAAATCCTAAACAACATGAGTCAAATAATCAGCTAGCTGTTTTGATTTAGTAACTTATTTCAATGTAACCTGCATTTGACTTTGAATGTTTCCTTTTTTACTTGACAATATTTGTTATAGGCAGGTTGTGAAATTTATTTGACAACAAATCAAATTTAGGCTGTGGAACTCATTAAATATTCCATTACTGATATCAGGTTTTTCAGTTGTCCTTTTGCCTGAACACTTGCTGCATTGTGCTTGCAAGATTTTTGTATGTTTTGTCTAAATTAGGGTGATTTTATAGCTCCTTTTTGTCAGATGATATAGCCAGTAGCACTTATACCAAAATAAAGAAATTAACAACCAGTCCATAAGATCGGTATCTGTGATCGGCAGTGATCGGCCCTCATGAGTGAATATTGACTGCAAAAAGATCAGATTGGAGCATCCCTAATCAAAATCAAATGAGTTCATGATGCATTTTAAAAATGTTCGATTTTTGATACCAGGATCAAGACAAACATACAAAAATCATCAATTTATTGTATTTTTTGGAAGTTTTGATTATCACTTTTAAAAAATATGGATCCTTTAGCATAATTATATTTAAGTCTAGTTTCTCTAGGAGGGAGAAAGAACTTCTTTCTCCCTCCTGTTTCTAACTGAAATCAGAACAGTTAAACTGTTCACTGTGCTTTTAAAATAAAAACAGTTTGTTTAATGTCTCCTCTCCAAGTTCCCTCCCACAGAAGATGAAGCAGACCAGTGTGTATCTGGTTGTAAGTCAACTCTGGCAGCTTCTCCAATGCACTGGGCTGTTGGTACGCTTTATCTCCTGAGTCTGAAGCTGAGTCATCGGGGAATGCTGAGGCTGAAGCTTTAGCTTACTTATACTCGTACCATGTGAATGTTCTGGTCCACACAGCTAAGAGATTTAGGATAATTTTGAAATACTTAAGTCAGCAATTTCAGTTCAGTAGTACTTGCTCTTGGATTTCCTTTTTCACTGAAAAGCCTTGAGAAAAACGGCCATGTTGGGGGAGAAAATTTTTCCCAAAACCCTGTTGTTTTTATGTATTGTTCAGGCTGACAGTAGAGATGCACTGATCCAATGTTAGAATCTGTATCGTCCCAATATTGAAAAAAATTCTACATCGGGTATCGGGAACAATGTGCCTGTCACTGCGCGATCTGTTCTGAAAGCACGATTCGTACCTTTGGTTCATTTGTCCATACGCTGAAGAAATACTTCCGGATTATCCTTAAAATGTACATCAACAAAGTGTATCATATTTATTTACATTAATTATAAGATTGCCTACTTTTCTAGATAGCTTTATAATTATCTGTAACACTTTATTTAAAGGTGTGTGCATAAGACTGACATAACATTGTCGTAAACATAACACCTGTTATAAACATGAAGGAGTCTTTATGAATATTTATGACTGCTGTCATTAATTATCATTTGGTAAATGACACTTTTAATACAAAGTTGACATTGTTTTAAAATGTATTTGTAAAGACAACATTAACCAAGACAAATTTTTTTGTTTGTTTGCTTGTTTTTTGTTTTGAGGTAATTTATGTCAGGCACACATAATCAGAATTATTGAGAAACCAACAAAATAAAGTGTTGGTGTGATTCCCTGTTATGGTTTTAGAAAAATGACTGGTTTGAAAAAAAAAAAACAATGCCAGGATTACTTATATGGCTGGAGGAACTTATATCTGCAGGAATGTTATTCAGTCTTTCTGAGTGGGTTGTAGAAGTTCTATTGTTTTCAGAACACCATTGTGATACGTAACATGCCACCAGCACCCAGCTGTAGGTCTGCACTGCTGCAACTGTGCTGAGTGCAATATCAGTTTTGTTTCCGATTTCGATTTTGTTCAAAACGAAAAAAATCTGAACCATTCAATCAGTGCTAAAAGAATAAAAATTGTAAGTCAAAATATTTTATTTTATTTTTAACAGTAAATCACACAAAATGTTTCCATTTTTGAGTTGAGGTCCAAACTAAGAGAAAGGGACCGGATACTGCTGAGCAGAGTTTCTTTGTGGTTCTTCAGCAGTGGCAAGATGAGGGGAAAAAAAAGACAATGCAACATTTGTGTCTGCAGGGTAGGGACTGAGCCAGCCTATGCAGTCTGAGAATCAGCTTGTTTTCTGTCCATCACTACAAGAAACCATATATTATCACCTTATTCATCACCTTATGAATATCCCTCTTTCAGAACCATTTATAGTGCATCTCTCAGTAGTAATGAATCCGGAGGTCAGAGCCTGCAGGAAAAAGGAAACCTGGCTTTATGTTGCAGGATCCCATGAAGCAGGTGTGACGGCAGGCCTTTGATCTGCATCTTTGGTTCTGGAGAATTCTTCTGAACCCAAACTAATCCAGTGCTTCATTAAACCTGGTGCACTAGAAGAAGTCTGTCATTTGTGTGTGTGCGTGCATGTGTGTTGCGCCAGGAGTAGAATTGAACACTAACGCATACCTTACAATAATAATAATTGAAAATGGACCTACAATGCAATCACACACGAAGGATTGAGCCGGTCTTCAGTCATTATGCCCCCTACTGAGACTCACTGATTAAACCTTCCCCACAAAACTAAATCAGTGACTAATCCTCCTGTGTGCTGTGTTGCTGGCTTGGGTCTTGGCCTGGAAGTGCCCAGAAGTGGAACAGAATCTGATTCTCAAGATCCAAGGAGGAGAAATGAGAACATGTTTCTGATTTTTTTTTTTTTTTTTTTTTAACCTGGGGCCATTTTTCATCTGCAGGCCAGACTACTCTGAGCCAGCCCAGAGCTGCTGCTGGGAACTACAGATCTCTCACACATACACTCACACGCACACACACGCACACTAAACCTGTTCCATGATAGTGCTTTTTCCTTGTATTAACAAGTGCAGTTTGTTTTAATCATTTTCATTGCTTTTTCTCTCTTAGAAGTTAGGCTTCAGAAAGATTTGCTGAAGTCCTGTAGAAGTGCTAGAACTAGTAAAGGCCAGCATGTGTGATGGACAGCATGTAAGAGCTACTCCTGTGTTGAGAAAACTCAAACATCAAACATGAACAATGTTTGATATTTGAGTTACTTCAGGTAGCTTTATGAATCTATATTATAAGAACGTCTTATTGTATAGATTCTTTAAATTGAATTCGGTCATGTCCTGATTTGAGGACATAACCGTGCTGGATAACTTTTGTCACACAACTTGCTAACAAGACAAAGTGCTTTTCATTTTGCTTTTTCCCCTTGTCTGTTTCCATCTGGGTTAGAATCACTTTTTTTCCCCATTTTTCCTATTAGTTTTAGATACATGGGAGATAGTGGGCCATGTTGTCTCCAAACTGTTTCAGAAATGATTTAAAACGGCAGTATAAGTTGCTGCTTTTACTGCTGCAGCTTCTAGAAATTTCTTAATCTGACTTGACTTCTCTAACACATTACTTGCCTTTCAGTTCCAGCCTCCAGGTTCTCTTTTACTCACTAGCTTCTGTTCATCCATTCGACAACTGGTCACTTCCTGTGTTCATCTGTTATTGTGGTGTGTGAAGAAAAGCTCAACTCTTGTTTGTTGTAGAATGGGAGAAAACAAGGTTTTCTTCTCCAGGAGGATTATAGGGACGTCCTGTGGGATGTGGACTGTCTCTCTAGCAAAAGATAAACAACTCACTCAATATGTCACTGTTTTCTGTGGAGTCTCATTACATATCACTAGTTAAATTCAGAGTTGATTGTCCAGTAAAGTTCTAAAGCCAGCCCTTTGTTTTTCCAGGTCTATAAAGGTGAATTTCAGCTCCCAGATTTCCTAAAAGAGCAATCACAGGTACAGTAACACGCCTGCCTGTTGCTGAGCTATTTGTCTCTTTTGTTGTTGTTGTTATTGTTATTTCTTGTCACAGATTCATCTTTTTTTTATTGTCAGAGCCTAATTTTAGTTAGACCATGTGGCTGTTAGACCATGTGGGTGTGTGGAAGATCAGTTTTAATGCTTCCATCTGCTTCCAGTTATTCAGCTCTCCACTGTGTCACCATCTAATGTATCCTGTTGTTCATTTGTGATGTCAACTCCATGACTGCTTCATATTCTCAGTGTTAAGCTTAGGATTTATTTACCTCTTGTGTTATATTTTGGTTTTAGAACTTGTCTAATCCTTGCTGGTGGTTTGATGGTGGCGTTTTGTTTCAAACTGCCGTTTTTGCTTGTTTGGTTGTTTGCAACTCAACAGTTTGAATGTGTCTGAATGTGGTAACTGTGGTGTTGCAGCATGCTGCTGATTGCATCTCCCCCACTTTGTTCTTCTACACAGATGCAGAAGTCTGCAGAGAGACCCAACCCCAGTTAGAAGCAGAGGAACAGCTGGACCACAGCACATAGGTACAGTTTCACAGCTACCAATATGATCCTAATGATGAAAGATCCTGCAATGTTTGCAAACACACATATCTGACTTTTCACACACTGTAACGTCTTTACTTCAAAGTTATTTAAAAAAATATTCTTAAGAATATGTTGTCTTATACTGATGACATCATAGTTTGGAGCTCAAGGAGTTTTCTTTTATTGGTTATTTGTAAATTCATGACAAATAATTTTAAAGTAATATACAACCCCTGGCAAAAAGTATGGAATCACCAGTGTTGGATGAGCAGTCATTCA